GTGTAGCATCATGGTAGGAAAAGGCCATCACTGTGCCGAATTGAAAGGTCACGGTCAAAGGTCAATGGGGCATCAGAGCAGATTTTAGACAGCTGAGAGAAATGGTCTGACGGAGCGATTGAAAAACTTTTTGTTTCAGCGGTGACCTAACCATTTTTTATGGCTTTATTGAAAAGACCATGAAATGTACTTTCCGCTGCTGAAGTCAAGAGTAAGTGTCGGATAACCTTTGACCCTCAAAAGGAGGGTTAAACATGGATTTGTTGACTGTTAACAAACGACTGAACTGCTTTTGCTATTAGAGCCTCCTGCTCTGAGGGGAAAAATGCACAAAGGCTGAATCCGTGAAACATGCAACATCACTCCTCTTCAAGCCTTGACCAATGCTGAAGTGCTGAAGACATTCCAGGACTGGGAGGCCGCAGAGATCCAAGAATGCCAGTTCAAGATCAATGATGAGCCTACCTACACCGAGTGGAGACAAATCCTGTTCTTCCGTGGCGGCATCCCGAAACGCTGACGCTGGTGCTTCATCTTGAAGCTGAGAAGCACTGAGCAAGATGTTCTTTATATGACGGCCGGCACGATAAAGTACAAGCGACTCTGGCCTTGGTACATCGCAGACATGTATGACCTGAGAACAGACACCCCAATACCTGGAGGGAACTGGAAGCTGGAAACATATCCGTCACGAAGAACAGAGATCCCATTTGTATCCATTGGTGCAGACCCGACACAGCGAACATCTGAACCAAGCGATGAAGGTTATCTCTTGACTGATCGCCATCTCCAACAACGCCAACGCTAGAACAGAGGTTCTTCTATGGCTACAACCAGAACTGTCATGCCTGTCGAGCGAGTCCAAGAGTCAGTTTAATGTGGAAGCTGGCAAGGTCACAGAGCAACCATGACCTTAGACCAAGTGCAGTCAAAGAGGAGCACGACGCGATCAACAAGATTAAGGCTGCGATCTTGAGTCATGGCAACAATTTGCCACTGAGGTGATCAGGCTGCACAATCTGATCACCCATGGCTACATCCCCAGACGAGTATGTGCCACAGATCCTGAACATTGATGTCACTGGGCAGAAGTTGTATGAAGAGATACGTGTCCAGAGCGAATCAATGGGAGACGTCAGCCTCTGGCACCAGTGAAGAAATACAACAACAAGATGTTCTAGTCTGGCACAGAAAACCCAGTGGAAACTCAGAGACAAGACTGTAGATCTAAAGAGACAAGGATCTGTACGGAAGGCTGATGGTCCTTGCCAGGTCAAACCGGAGACATCGACCATGAACAAGCCATCGCAACTATGAGTTCACGTTGACACCGAGGCACTGTTTGCGGCAAACGGGCAATGCTGCCATGTATTGACAAGGCAAAGTTGATCCACGCTCCTTGAGAAGGCTGAGAACAGCAAGAACCACCCGATGAAGATCAGCAGCAGCAGCTGCATGATGCAAGTGTTCTGCAGCGCGATGGCAGTGAGATCCAGAAACCATGGAATGCGAACCACTGAAGATCCTCATCCAAGTCGAAAAATTGCACTGGTGACGACGGTATGGTGCTCGTGCAGAAGCTAACAAAGAAACCAGCCGTAGTGACAGTCAAAGACCTCAGTGAATGCTTCACTACCAGACTGATGTCTCTCACAAAAGACTGTGGTGTTTGACACATTACAAGGCTGATTTCCTGAAGAGTACCACAAGGGAGAAACGGAGACAAGGAAAGGATCCGATCCAATATCAGATCAGAGATGACACCAGCATCAAGCACATCCCAATGAGCCGGTTCCTTTCCCATGACAAACCGAAGGCTGATTTGACTGAGTATCTGGCAGCAAAAACCCTGGAGTACAACCAAGTCTCGTCAAAGCTGGTTATCGCATCTGCCGCAGGACATACTAGGAGCAATAGCGAGCTGCTAATCGAGGACAACAATCACGAAGAGGCGGACACACTGCTGATCTACCATGCAGTGCTGGCATCACAGAGGAACCCACCTGATGCAGAGTTGGTAGTCTTCTCCCCAGACACTGATGTTCTGGTGCTGGTCATAGCAGATTATAACGCTGCTGAGAAACACGTCCATGTCAATGGCTTCCGGAGTGGTCGCAAGTGCAGTCCAATATGGACAGATCTAGGTCCAGAAAGAGCAAGGCTTTGCAGCCTTCCACGCATTCACGGGGGCAGACAACACTGGGAGTTCTCTCGCATAGGCAAGGCAACCATGGCTGCAAGTCTACCTCAAAGCAGGCGAGAAGTCATCAATGTCTGGCAGATGCTTTCAGATGTCGCTGAGTCACTGAAGAGCTGCTGTCAACGCTGGCTACATTCGTCTGTGCTGCATACGCACCAAAGGGCATCCAGATTGGCGAGCATCCTTGAGCTGGCAATGGCATCTTTTCTGCACAGCATAATGGCTGAAAGTGACAAGCCTGCTCCACTCTTGGTGCTCTCAAGCAGCACATCCACAGAGTTCGATCCAGGCTACAGTATGGGTCAGGCAAGCATTGGCTCAGCAGCAGTTCCTGGATCCGCTGCAGCATGGCCTCTCTTAAAGAACACAGCAGCTAATCAGGTGAAACAATCACAAAACTGAGGTCCTTCAGCCCCCAAGGCCATCATTGAGATGGTGAGGTCCAGTGCAGAGCAGACTGTGTCAACATGCTCGATGCTCTGGCAGGTCCAATAACTTATCATGCACCAGACTCTCTGGCCAGTGTAGCACTCAGTGCCAGAATGATGAGGACTCTATGAATGACATTTTGCCGACGCAGTGACAGTGATGATGATGATGTGTAAAGATTCTGCTATATATCACCAGATTTTGCTATATCACACTTATTTTGTCATGCTATTATGATATTGAAGTTTAGTTGTGTGGCAAGAAGCTGCCTAGACATCTAGAGGTTTGACTTAATTGCTACATGTAGAAGTTCTGAGGCCATTTAGAACATTTATTATAATAAAGTGAATATGATAATCTGCTTTGTGGTTATGTTAACTTATTTTACTTTGTACCACTGGCTTCCTCACCTTGAAAATGTAGTGTTAGCCTTAAAATCATCGACTCTAGCCACCTGGATGCTGAGATATTGAGAAAGCCCACCATTTTGAAGAACAGCCCATTTTGAATCCAAGATGGCCGCCTTGCATGCTTCCGGCAAATTGTAAACATTGGTTTTCTGATTGCCTATACTATACAGATTCCGAAAATGTATAGGTTTCTAAATCCCCCCAAAATGTCACGAAATTACACAGTGAACCCTGACTATATGCACACTCACAAAATACGCTCCGTTGAGCTACTATGAATATAAGCAAGAGTAGATAATAAACTAGATCTTAGATATTATCTACTCTTGATATAAGTACCTCTAACTCTAGCAGAGCTGGCGTACCAAAGACCCTATATATATATATTACAGGCCCGTAGCCAGGAGGGGTCGGGGGGTTCGAACGAACCCCCCCCCACAAGCTAAATTTGTTGTTGTTGAAAATTTGCAAGAATTTCACCTCAGGTCGCTCCATTTTAGTGTAATAATTGCAAAATCTCCATCGTGCGGGAGGGTGAACATGAAACACCCCCCTCCCCACACCTTCCCCCCGCTCGGTCGCTTGGCTCCCTCGCCTGCATAGTCGCTTCGCGCCCGAGCAGGGGCGTGTACGACCAGGGAGTCCGGACCCCCCTTCGCGTGCTGGCACTTTGGTTACGGTTAGACGCCCCCCTGGTACAAATCCTGTACACGCCCTCTGCGGAGCAAATTGCCAACATTGAAAAACGAACCCCCTCCAATATAAGCTGGCTATGGGCCTAATATAAATATTATATATATATATCAGGAGTAGATACGGAAAGACTTTGAAAAGACTTTGAAAAAGATTTGTCTTATTAACTCCTGATATATATATATAATATAAGTCTATAACTGCTAATATATATATATATATATATATATATATATATATATATATACTCTAGTATATAGGGTCTTTGGGCGTACTTTGGATTGTACTTGCCTGCTGGTTTAGGGCCTGTATACACGGTGAGTCATCAACAATGAAGATTTCTAGGCGAATCTGTGTGCAGCAATGAGATGCGATATTCTACCTCGTAGCAAGATTTTCTTGTCGGGCATGAAATGATAGTCACTGAAACATGATTGTTTTTCTCAGATGTATTGCTCTTTTCACCAGACGTCGATTCTTATCTTGATATGATATAAGCTTTCTGATATGATATATTCTTGGAAAAGTACAGTTGTTTGGGGGAAGTGTGGATCGGAAAAATTTGAATGCTGAGTATTTCCGTACTGCTTTTTTCTCGACTGTCAATTAAAATTTGCTTCTTGAAGGATCATGAAAGTAACAACATAAATACGTGGACCCGCTCACCGTGAATGAATATTTAAATATTTAATTGCAATAATTAACCCTCGCTTTTCATTACTTTTTATTCTAAGTATACTTCAAAAGATTAATGAACGAGCCAGTTTCTAAGCAGTAATGACTGATACGTCTTTGTACGTATACGTGCATGTGTTTTCCATTATTGTGCTCGAGTTTTTCCTCGTATTCTCGATTTAGAAAGCTCATATACTTGTAATAATAGCTGCCAATATACTCCCAGATCGAAACCATTCGTGTTTCTGATGTTTAGGTATTTAAGTGCATAACAAATTCCGACTGTATTAATTCAGTAGACTAGGGTTGCTATAGGAAGTTGTTAAAACAGATTGGTATGTGGGCCACTTGGTGAATTGTTGTTTTTATACATTAGGAACCAATTGAATATGCAGCTTATATGATGAAGGTTTTTGCTCTCACAAGGTTAATTTTTTTTAATGAAATATAAACTGAAAAGTATGTTAAATGTTAATTTAAATGTGTTGCCTACATGTCTTTGATTGCTGGGGCAGATGAGCTGCATTCTCATTAAGTCTTGTCAAACAATGTAAAGATATGTTCATGCTCTTACACTAAACTAATTCATGCAGGTGTTTAATGGACATTTCGTTCACTACTTTGCACCGAGTGGATTTGAGCCGATCAACAAACATGTGGTGTTCATTCTGGATGTCAGTGGTTCCATGCGAGGAGACAGGATTAAACAGCTCCAGGCAAGTTACCTGTGCAGTACTAATTATGAGAATTATTGACACATTCGTCTGAGCAAGGTAATCTTGCCCCCTTTGATGCTGTTGCTCGGTCTGATGCTGTTCATCAGTTTACATACATCAAGAGCTAATAATACCTAGAGTGCACAACGGCCTTATTAGCTCTTGAATACAGACTCGTATGTAGACGTGCACAGAATATTCGCACGTGCACATCGAATCGTCGACTCTGCGGAACTTTACTGCCAAGCGTTGTTTTTTTGAACGGTCTACCACGTCATTGATCGGCTAGAGCTGCCTGTCACTCACAACACATAGATCTATTCACTCATGGTCTTTATGCATGTCTACCTGTCTGAGGGATTAACGGATGATGACGTGCGTACTTAGGTCCACACTAATTCGTGAATCTTGCGCGTCTCCGGCTCAGTGCATAAATGGGTCTCGGCTGTTTATGTATGAGTTTACGCCGTGCGATCGTGAATGTTTTACGGTACCCACATGCTAAACCGTTACCACGGCTACTCGTCGGCCCCACGGTACATATGCTTGACGCTCACCGGCGAACGTATGTTTTGTACTGCCGGTGATTTATCAGTAGGCAAACGTGGAAAGACGATTAATCATGTCGCTTGGATACAGGAGGCTATGTACGGCATCCTACAGCAACTACAGCGCGGCGACTTCCTCAACATAATAGCCTTCAACACGCTCGTGCAGCACTGGCAGGGTCACACTCCAAAGCCGTACAGCCCACAGACTCTGATCAGCGCTACCGAGTTTATATCCAATATGACCTCGAGATCAAGTACGAATATGATGTCAGCTGGTGGATGATGGTTTCTGATTCGCGGGGACCATCCATTAACCCACAGTATTTTACCTCCACTGAGTCTCCCGTCTGGTACCTAACGAGACTGGATGCTGTGTGGTCTTTCAGTTACTCTTTTTTGGCCAAGTCTCCTTGTTTTTCCATCATGCATCAAAATCCATTCATCACTGCAGTATTTTACGTCCTGCATGCCTCTCCCATCCACTATCTAACGATTAAGACTGCCGATGCTATAAAGTCTCTTTCACTTACCTATTCTCGACTATAATTAGTTTTCCCATCATGCATGCATCTGCAATTATTATTACAAGTATTCTTAGGTTTGTAATATCAGTATATGATGTAATGTGAATGAAATTACGTATTCTTAATAAAAAAAAGTGGACATTTTTTTTTATTACTTTTTAGATAGATAGATAGATAGATAGATAATAGGTTTATTGCAAAACTAGTGTTAACAACGTTACAATTAAAATAAATTTTGCAAACAAGATATCATCAGGCGATACTATATAATATCTATATATAATATATAATATATATATAATATGTGAGTTATAGTTGATTCAGTCTCAACTCATATTAGATTTCGACCCTGAAGTTACAAAATGACTCACCCAAAGACCTCACCTCAGTCTGCTTGTGTGTTGTCTACACTGGCAGGGGCTGAATTTTATGGAATGTGTTGGGCTGAAGATGGAACTGTGACTGTTGTTCGTGTGTTTGTTCTTGGCAGGCACAAACATCAACGCTGCACTGCTTGATGGCGTGACGCTGTTCAATGAGTTTGAGAACCTCGACGTGAGTCAGGGCCTCGTGTTCTTCTTGACGGACGGAGACCCGACCGCGGGAGAGAAGAATGCCACCACGATACTGAACAACATTAATGTGCGCAAGCAAGGGCTGCGGCGGGAGTTCTCCATCTTCAGGTATCCGTGCCAAGCTGGCATGATAGTTTGACAGATGTGAAGCCAGGCTGATGGGTATATTGACAGAAATGAAGCCCGGCTGGCAGACAGACAGACAAACAGATAAAAAGCTAGTAGACAGATGTCCAGATTTAAAGCCTAGCTAACAGATGTGAACTGAATGCTAAATGCTGAATGCTAACAGAATGACGGATGTAACGCCAAGGTGGTGGCAGGTGTAGGTTACCAGATGTGAAGCCAAACTGGCAGATAGGTTCATGATTACATGCGAAGCCAAGTCAAGGAAAGCTTGTGACCTGTTGAAGAAACCAAGCCAGCATAATGATTTATTGCTAAGCAGTTGATCAAGATCAACTAATACATGACTGCAAAAATTGATGGACTAATAAGTGAACAGGCACATAGAAAGACGGGTGAAAAACGTGCCAGCTAGTATCACAGGAAATTGTCTGACATATAATATATAATATGTAATATACCATAATAATTATAGTCAAGAACTCATAATTAAACGCCTTATTATATTACAATACCTTGATATATTTACAAATAACTTTATTATATTAATTAATATAGTAGGTATCATTAGCTCTTTCTGTTATAATATGTAATGTATAATAATGTGTGACGACCGACCGTTCCTTCAGCCTTGGGTTTGGCGACAGCCTCGACTTCTCCTTCCTCGAGAAGCTGTCGCAGGAGAATAACGGCCGAGCACGCAAGATCTACACGGGCGAGGACGCCGTCTCGCAGCTGACGGGCTTCTATAGCGAGATCTCGAAGCCCGTACTGTCCAAGGTCAAGGTCGTCTACCTGGATGACCGCGGCGAGGAGCTGGATGCGAACCTGACGCAGTCGCACTTCTTCAGCTTCTTCAACGGCAGCGAGATTGTCGTTTCTGGCAAGCTTCGCGACCGAGAGACGAACAGCGTGCAGGTAAGCTCACGCAGTAGCAGTAGTAGTAGTGGTGGTAGCAGTAACAGTAGCAGTAGTAGTAGTAGTAGTTGTGGTGGTGGTGGTAGCAGCATCAGTAACACTAGCAGTAGCAGTAGTAGTAGTGGTGGTGGTGGTAGCAGCATCAGTAACAGTAGCAGTAGTAGTAGTGGTGGTGGTGGTAGCAGCATCAGTAGCAGTAGCAGTAGCAGTAGTGGTGGTGGTGGTGGGGGTAGCAGCATCAGTAGCAGTAGCAGTAGCAGTAGTGGTGGTGGTGGTGGGGGTAGCAGCATCAGTAATAGTACCAGTAGCAGTAGTAGTGGTGGTGGTGGTGGTGGTAGCAGCATCAGTAACAGTAGCAGTAGTAGTAGTAGTGGTGGTGGTGGTGGTGGTGGTAGCAGTAACAGTAGCAGTAACAGTAGTAGTGGTGGTGGTGGTGGTGGTGGTAGCAGTAACAGTAGCAGTAACAGTAGTAGTGGTGGTGACAGTCAGCAGTAGCAGTAGTAGTGGGTGGTGGTGGTGGGGTTGCATGTAACAGTAACGTTAGCAGTAACGCCGTGCGTAGAGTAGAGTAGTATAGGTGGTGGTAGATCAGTAAAAAAACGTGTAGCGTAGCAGTAGTAGTGTCGGTGGTGGTGGTGGGGGGCTAGCAGTAACAGTACAGTAGTAGTGTAGTAGTTCGGTGGTGTGGGTGGTCGGTGGCTGGTGGTGGTGTAGCAGTCAGCTAACAGTAGCAGTGCAGTAGTAGTGGTGGTGGTGCGTGGAGCAGCATCAGTAACGTAGCAGTAGCGCAGTAGTACGTCGTGGTGGTGGTGGTGGTAGCGTCAACGACACAAGTAACCAGTAACAAGTAACAGTCAGTAAGTAGTGGTGGTGGTGGTGGCTGGTGTCGGTGGGTTGGTGGTGGTGTTGGTGGTAGCAGCCAATCAGTAAACAGTAAGGCAAGTAAGCGAGTAGTAGTGGTGGTTGGTGTGGTAGCAAGCATCATAAACAGTAGCAGTAGCAGTAGCAGTAGTAGTAGTAGTGGTGGTGGTGGTAGCAGCATCAGTAACAGTAACAGTAGCAGTAGTAGTAGTGGTGGTGGTGGTGGTGGTGGTAGCAGCATCAGTAACAGTAACAGTAGCAGTAGTAGTAGTGGTGGTGGTGGTGGTGGTGGTGGTGGTAGCAGCATCAGTAACAGTAGCAGTAGCAGTAGCAGTAGTAGTAGTGGTGGTGGTGGTGGTAGCAGCATCAGTAACAGTAGCAGTAGCAGTAGTCGTGGTGGTGGTGGTAGCAGCATCAGTAGCAGTAGCAGTAGCAGTAGCAGTAGTAGTGGTGGTGGTGGTAGCAGCATCAGTAGCAGTAGCAGTAGCAGTAGCAGTAGCTGTGCTTTTTGTTTTCATTTCCACAGGCAGTGGTGACGGGTGATGCCAAGGGCAGAACCATCGACTACCGAGTCGGAGCTCTTGTCACAAAGGATGCTTTAATGTCGTCTCGGCTGCTGGAGAGAATCTGGGCTTACATGACGGTAAAGAAGCTGTCGATAGAGGCACTGAGAGCAACCGACCTAGTCCAACTGGACCGCATCAAGGATGCTGGCATCAAACTCTCCTTGCAGGTAGGCCTACTATGTATATGATGATAATAAAAAATAAAAACNAATAATATATATATATATATATATATATATATATATATATATATAATATAAAGAGTAAATAAAACTATTGTTGTTTGTTTCATCCACTATTCACTATAGATAATATAATATAATGTGTCAAACCTGTAAAGAGTTGCGTCGCTCAAGGGGAACGGCAAAATCTTCCTTTATATGCAGTTCTGTAAAGATGGTATTACCTTATAGCTGCACATCGATATCATAGAGATGCTATAAGTGACTTATATAGACGGGTTTCCGTTCTATAGAGGTGTCTGCTAAGGCAGGTTTGACTGTTGTGTGATTGCAAGTGCCGCACGGCTAGACGTTTCTCCTGTGCATTTTTCCAGTACAATCTGGTAACTCCGTTTACATCAATAGTCGTTAGTGAGCCAGAGGTGAGCATCTCGATGGACAGGTCTGATCGCTATGCTAAAGGTAATCTTGTTCGCTTAACGAATCGTCTTAAGCTGTTCTAGCTGTGCTGTGATTTCACTCGTTTGTTGTGCAGCAGTTTCAGTTCAAGCAACAATTCTGCATAGATGTGATATATATATATATATATATATGGGGATCCACCAAGTATTTTCCATCTTTATTAACTATTTGTGCTGAGGGATTGAGAATGGCCAAGGCTTTCCCCAACAAAATGTCATGGATACAATACTATAACAATAGCAATAGAGTCATTATTGAAAATTCAGGATAGGGGCATGGGTGTGAATAATGCTTATTTCCCGTATCTCTAAAATAATTCATTTATAGAAAGGATAACTTCGCTTGAGATNAGAGTAAGCGCTACTACGGTGAGAAGACATGCATATTGAGTCACCAGGCAGGTTTACTATGGGAAAACATGGAAGCTTAACCCAACACAGATATTGTACATCATGTTACCAGCGGGTGGTCGAGCGATTGGTCGGGGCGGGTGACAAGCTTGCCGGCAGCGAGGACAGAGCGCATTGAGGAAGTGTAAAAAGACTGCGGCATTTCCAGAGCTGTCTGCTCGGACAAACAAACAGGGCAAATGCTAGGTGACGTCACGACATGCGAATGACAGTGGTACGGAGTGAGAGCTATGATAGGGCTATTCATGGGATCAATCACTCCAGGGTCGGCGGATGACCCATGGGCAAGTGCAACTGGATCTTGCCGGCAAATCGATGGATTTTCAATAGATACGGCGAGATCACCGTAGTGTCGCAGAACGAATACAGTGGCTTGTAGTATTGTATGGCCGACAATACACCATGCTGTCCGTCCAGGAGGAACACTGAAATGTAAGGGAGTTTGTGATGCAGACGAACGAGCCCATAAAGTGGAAAATGGTACAGCTTTCATAGTGCGTACTACGGCGCCCACATGGTTAGATAATCTGTCTAGTCGACAGGTGGCATCACAAATCGGGCCTTAGTGAAGCGATGTCAACGAATAGATGGAACATTGTTTGAGATATTGGTTTGTTAAAGGTGCGACTGCCAGGCTAAAAATACAGCTGAAGGAAATGCTTGTTCCATACAGTATTAACACTGCCCTCGCAGAGTTCGATTTCCGATACTATCCAAGGCTCATAGGAAAAGGAGCTGCGAGATATCGGTGAGCGTTGCGGGTCATCGAACAGTTACTGCCATGAGCCGACAGATGCGTGGCGCCCCTATCGGTCCTGTTGTTAAACGCTCAATGGGAATTTCACGATCTGCGTGATTTGAAGAACACTGATATGAATCTGGTGCGTCCCTCGGAGCGATTATATCGCCAACTTTCCGATGATATAATCCCTAAGCTGGGTATGAGCACGATGTGGGTTTTCGAAGTAGGATGCGTCGAGTGGCGTGTTATCAAATGCCAACTAAGACCCTGAGAGTCAAGATACACACATTCTCACACCCCTTTGGCAGGTTATGTTCTCCGCCGTGTCCCATTCGGGATTACATCAGACCAGAGTGTCCACGTAAGAATGACGGAGCTGCTGCAGGGACAGGATGGTGCTTATTGCGATGATGGAATGACATATTAGTGTATGGAAACACACTCGGAAGAACATGACTGACGATTAAACTGCTTCTACGTCGACGAATGTCGAGCACCAGCAAGTAGTATATTTTGTCGTCGTATTTGTACATAAATAATGTATGAAATACAATTAGCGTTTATATTTACTTTTCTATGCTCATATACTTCTTTACTCCCTAACTTTTGCCGATGCATGTCGATGGTAACCATAACGTGCATTTCCAAAAACGCGCCATGCAATTCGAAACTTATCCCCTTGTGGCGCCCAGACGCAGCTAGCGATATAGCGAACATTTAGCCGGTAAACGACGGCATTGGCAAAATTTTGTGGCAGCCATAAAAATCTTCATTGTAAACTTAGCTGCGGGAGTGTTCTCATATATCCTTCTTTCTGCTTTTCTCTCTTTCGTTTTCTTTCCGATTGCACTGGTTGCCCACATGTTTTCGTTTAGTTTATCTAGCTTCCATGATCGATCGGGTTTGGTCTATATCAGGCCGGTTTACAGGAGATATTTGCACGTTATTTTGCTCACCGGTGCGTTTGTGTTATAACAATCAGATGTAATCGCGGGTGGAGAATGAGGGAGAAGCTGGTGGAGAAGGAGGAGGGGTGAGAAGGGAGAGAGGTGTGGAGGAGGGGGAGAAGCTGGTGGAGAAGGAGAGGGCGAGAAGCTGGTGGAGGGAAGGTCGGTGGAGGAGAGGAGGGTGGTGGGAGAGTGCAGGGAGGTGCCGTTATCCCTGGCAGCACCTTCTCCCTTCTCCACCACCTTCTCCCAGCTTCTCCTTCTTCCCTTCTTCATTCTCACCAGCTTCCCTCCTTCCTCTCTCACCAGCATTCTCCCCTCTTCCTTCTCCACACCTTCTCCCTTCTCCCCTTCCTCTCCTTCACCATCTTCTTCACACTGGAAGTGACGCGTACACGAACACGCGATGACATCTGATTGCGGTTATAACACAAACCACGTGATAAATATGCAAATTTATGCTCCTCTGTACCGGCCGTGAAATATAGACAAACCAATCTGAAGGGGCTGATGTCACAAACATTTTTGTTGGCAGAAATTAAAAAAACACAAATAACATTTCGTCAGTTTTAATAATAATTTTTCAAACACTAATACACATGACATATATTATTTATTTTTCCAGTATATTGTATATTCTATATAGGCCAACACAAAATCAAAACAGAAACTGTTGGCACCACTTTGTGACCTGCCACAAATCACGATACATCGACCACAGCAACCAGTGCAGCAGTCCGAGTGACGCCAGTATTGTTGTAAATCAGTGTTAGGTAACATAATTCAAATCGTCAAAGATTTTTTGCAAATGCTTAACCCAACGTAAAAACATTTATATCAGGTGAGAAGCTTTTTAGGAGTATATTTGAGTACGCTTGTACTAACTTTTGATGTAAATAAAAATTTCAAAAAATAAGGTTTTTTGCAACCTATTAAATTTCACGGAAATGCGTGACGTAGACCTTTAAGAACTGTCTTGGCATCGCGATACTGTGAGTCGGGACTGAAAACTCAAACAGGGAGAAATGAAGGTTCGACAGCAGAAGCTAATCGTACTTTGGTCATCGTTATCTCAGTAGAAGGGATAAGCCAGATCAAGAAAAGTAAAGCCAGTCGTGCGATATCGCCGCACCACGAGATTAGCAGGTTGTTAGACGGTTTATAGGCACTGTCAATTTACTTGGCTGAAGATATTTGCAGAGCTGTCGACGGTTTATAAAGCATATTGATCTACTTGAAGTCTGCACGCAACTGTTCAGTGGAGTCACACACAAGAGCAGGCGCTTTGAGGTCAAGGATATGTGTCAAAGCCACCTGTTTGGCATCTTGATGTAACAACCCAACTGGGTCAGTGCAGATGCCAGCAGTTATGTATTTGGTGGAGTACTAATGCAACGAACACGGGAGATAGATCTCTTACCTGGGTCATACTGTTCTCGCACATTGACATAATGCTGAGGCCTAGATATGCATCTCAGATTGCAGAAGGTTGCCTGGCGTGTGTGTGGGATGCTGAAAAGTTCACACAGTAATTCTGTATGGCACTGAGCGAGTTTAAACTGGTGTGACACGCGACCATAAGCCATTGTGTTCACTGATCAATAACAGATGATTCATTAGACAAAACGCGCTGAGGCTGCAGAGGTTTGCTGATGCGTCTCATGCGATTTGCTTGGCAGAGCCAGAATATGGCACCTTGTAAGGGCTTGTGGTATAGCAGACACATGTCAAGAGACCACTAGTAAGCATTCAGAGGTGCCAGATACAGTCTGGAGTTCAGCAGGTTTGTGGACAGCGCTGACGAACAGAGGCATAGCAGTCAGAAAAACTCGGGGTAATAACAAGAGCGACAGTAACGCCGACGTTTTCGCAACGCTACAGAGGGCGATTGGACTCACAAAGGGTGGGGTGCCGAAGAGGATTCAGTCGGAGTGCAGGGACGGTAAAGACATTCTACTCGGTTAGGAGGTGAACTATCGTCGTCAAAGGATCTGTCCTGTATCGAAATCGTATTGTAATCCTATACGAGTGGAGAAGAAGATTACTCGAGCAAGATCCATGAAGAGTCACCAGGGTATCAGCTAAGTGTAGGGAACGCTGCCAAAATGGCTGTGTGAGTGGCCAGAATAGGCCAGACATAGCACAAGAGGATTTCTACTGCCAGTTTATTGCCAGACGAACCGGCGCTACCAAACAGAAAGGAACCATTAAATTCATCTCCATTGCCAGCTAACCTGGCAAAAGGTTGGATGACTTGTGTGAGTTGAAGCGAAAGAGATATTTTGTTCGTGGATTCGACTATTACTCTAGGGATTTGGATCGTGATGTACTTACCAGAAATCACGTGCGAAACAAGTCATTGGTAAGCCTCAAGAGCTTATTCGCAAGATGGCATTCCCAGGGAAGCTGTCTCTGGATAACGCGGGCCTCAGTTCACATTTCAGCTGCAGGTCCGGCCTGCTTCAGAGTGAATGACGATTTTGCATTCACACAACAGTCTAGGCCCACACGTCCCACAGGGCTATATGGGAGTCTGAGCGGGACGAGGTGCAAAATAGCGAAAGGAATCCTCTGCCAGAGAGGAAAGGTTGTTTGCGCATTAATGAGCTACTAGAGCTACACCATTGCAGCCACGGGTGTATATAGTCCTGCCCACAGCTGATCGATGGGACGGCGAGATACTGCTACCAAAATGTGCCAACCCGTACTGAAATTCTTAGATCCTAAGTATGGCCAATCTTAAGAGTGTCAAGATGTACGGCTTCTTACAAAGACGTCATTCGGTTGAATCGTCTTCCAGCAGCTGGACCTGGAGTACATGTACGAGTAAAAGTTGGACAGGGCAGAAGGATGGAAACACCGGAGTGGTTGTGAGTCACGCGACCTGACCCCACAGCAGAC